TCTCTCTCTCTCTCTCTCCCCCTCCCTCCCTCTCTCTCGCTGTTTTGGTTTCACTACTTCCCCAATAAGGGCGCCCTGGCTGTGAGCCCGCGCGACACGCACAGCGGAGGCTCCGTCAACAACATGTTTGCTCGCTGCGTGGTCTCTTGCTATGCTGCTGCTGCTCCCCTACTTCCCGACCACTTCCTTGGCCACGCGGCCGGGCCACGCTCGACGATGACTCGCTCACGCATGTCCATACAACACAGCCCGGCCGCCGTTGTTGCAACGCGCCGTGAACTTGCTGCTTCTGCTGTGGAGTGTTTGGGGTGATCGGCCACAGATAGTTGCCACCACGTTGTATGGTGACGCAACCTTGTTAGCTATCGGTTTCGTTATTATGTTTTATAAGTTTTATGTTGTGTGTGTGTTCTTTTTTTTCTTTTTTTTTTCTCGTCTTAAATCACACACGTCTGGCGGTGACTTTTGCTGGTGGCCGTCGTCTGCTCTCCAAAGCGCGGCGCGTGGCGACCCGCGCCCGACCCCCGCCTGCTGCTCGGCACTGACACTGACCTGGGACAACGTCGCCCATCCGTTCCCATAGGGGCCGAGTCTTAAGGCAGCAGCACGAGTGTCGAATCGACACTGTCGTTCACGTGCGAGCAACAAACGGCTTCAAGAACCAATCTTTCTCCTCCACCGTCGGTTTTTCTCGGCCTTTCCTCATCGGGGTGTGTTTGAGACATCGAGACGTCGAGATATTGTGAAGTCGAGACATCGAGCACCTTACCGATGGCCGTGGCGTCCCAGTTGATACCGCCCAGGCCGTAGCCGAGGAAGCCCCCTAGTCCAGCCATGATGGTGAACGTGCTGAGTCCGCGCGCATGGTCCTCTGTCAAAAGGGGAGAGAAGGAAATAAATTTCAAATTTAAATTGGTCTTTTTAGCTCTAATTACAGCTTTAGAGCAGAACCGGGTGGAACTGTTAAACGAGTTGAGTGAAATTCCGGTCACTCTTTCCGATCTTATCGCTAATTTCCGTGCCACAATCTCCCGCTGGGGGGGTCTGAGTGGGTGAGTGGTGTGTGCTATGTGACTCAAGCCTGGAAGTTAATAGCGATAGGTTATCACAGCCAACCTTTCAGAAACGGTCTGGGCCAAAAGAAACGAAGAGAAATTGTCGATATCCGTGACCTCACCGGGCGATGATGCGTTTTTTCTTATGAGTTGTTTTGTTTCCTTTTTAAAAATTTCAGATATATGCGGCTTTTTTTCTTATTGTTTTTCCCTTGGGTTTGAAACCGACCGTCTGTGGCGGATATGCATCGATCAGAGAAAGAGGTGCTGCCTCTGCCTGTAACTCGATTCGAAACAAAAGGTTGCCTCCCCGCCGCGACGCCCAACTGGTTATCACTGGTTTCAGCCGCCCGGCGCGGAGGCTGGCACAGATCACATCGGACTTACCCCTCCCCTCCCCCTCCCCTTTCCCGCAGAATATAACGTTTTATTTCTTCTCTTTTCCGTGACCAGACCGAGCACGGCCAAGTACGGCAGACTGTCAGGATCCTCCACTCTGCGGGCCCGGCTGCGCCAACAGCAGCAGCATGATGGAAAGCACCCCCGCGATAGTACGATAGCAGTGTTGCCAACGAGGTAGACAACATCCCCGCCGGTGTGGCGCGGGGCGTATTTGTGAGCCTTGCCCACCCGGCTGGTGGTGCGGGCGTGCGAGCGTTGCCATTCGTAGGCAGGCACTACTGGGGGGAAAGGTACAAGAAAGCCCGATCCAAGATCGAGGCGATGTTTCGACTGTAGGTACCCAGTTGGCAACACTGGTATGCAGAGCGAAATATTGACGCCTGGCCAGTGAGAAGAGGACCCGCAGAAGCTCAACTGGGCCCGGGAAGAAGATGCATCGACTCAATAAGCTGCAGACATCGGGTAGGGGGCTAATCTACAGGAGGGCATAATCGCACAGTTCAGTACAGTAGGGCAGGCTTCTGCTTATTGTCAGTTCTGGTTTTGGAGCTAGGGTCCTAACGCACTTAAGTGGCTAAATCCTGGTTATTCTGTTTTAAAGAACAAATCGCAAAAAAGGGGGTAATTGGCTGTTCTTTTGGTAGTAGTATTTCTTAAGCCAATGACAGGATTTTTTTATTTTTTTTTTGCCGGAAGAATGAATGAGGACTTGTTCTGGTCCGGTTTGGGGGGACAAAGCAAGGCCGCATTTAGAGGTCGTTCCTTACGTGCCACGAGGTCTAGGCCAAGCACCCGTACTTTTAATCGCTTTTTGAAAAAAAAATGTTAAGTCTTCCTGCACCTTTCAGAGACACAAAGGCCATAACAGCAGCAATCTTTCGAAAATGTGAATGCATTTCAGTTGTTCCCCAATTATTCTCATATAAAATATTCGCATTTCCTTTCCTCATTTCTTAAAAAGAAAATACACGTATTTCGGCTGTGCTTCCTCACCCGCCACGGTCACGTCCAGCAGATAGGCGCGCGCGGGACTCTGGCACGCGTCGGCGTCGAAGTCGAGGAGCACGGTGCCCAGGATGGTGAAGAAGACGCCCCAGGGGTGCGAGAACTGCGCGTCCGAGACGGGCGTCCCGGCGGCCAGCAGCGCGGTCCTGTTGGCGGCGGGCAGGTCCTTGGAGGGGTAGTAGTCGCCCATGGAGTGGCCCATGTCCTCGCCGTTCGGCACCAGGATCAGGCCTAGAGAGAGAAAGAGAGTGAGAGGCGGCGTGTGTGAGGGGGAGAGGGAGGAGGCAGAGTGTTATCGCGTGTATCAATTTTCGGGAAAACTTTTTTATCAAGTACTTTTAGTGGAGCTGATACAGTGCGCGTCAAGACGAGCGGGCTGCAGAGCGGTGTGGGTGTCGCACGTCAACATGGAAGTGTAAATAAATAGAAAGCTATTTTCGATCGATATTTTTTGATAGCCGGTCTTTTTTGTTATCGCTCTACGCCGGCCGGCGCCCGCGTGCGCCCTTCTTATCTCTCTAGCGGGAACAGACGTTAACTTCTAGTGATCGCTAATAATTTCGCACGACGTCTTGACATTGTGTTTGTTTTATGACGTGTTTGGCGCCAGCGGGGTCAGCCTGCCCAGGGTGGAGGGGCCGGGGGTTACCTTAATACGATGCATTCCAGCGTGACTCGAGTTTTCAGATTTTTTCCTTTTTTTTGTATTTACTATTTTCTCTTGAATTTTTCGTTTAAAAAAAATAATCTTATTGATTTTCCCTGAATTTTTGTAATTTTTCTGATTTTTTCCTGATTGTTTTGGAAAGTATCCGGTGAGCGTTTTAGTCTTGTAGTGTGAAGGACCCCTCGGCCGCCGCCCGGGAGGTAGGCCGTCCCGTAGGGCGCCAGTGTCGGGCGGGGTTGCCTACCCGCCCGTCCGCGGGCGCCCGCAGGACGAAGTGCACCGGGTGCCCACCAGAGGGAGCGCGCGGCAGGGCGCAGCAGGACGACGGAGGGAGAGTAGTACGCACCGACGAGGACGCCGACGGCGAGGATGACGATGAACGGCCGGCGCCGGCCGACGGGGAGGCGGCAGCGGTCCGAGAGCGAGCCGAGCACGGGCGTGAGGAAGAAGCCGACGAGCGGCGACAGCGCCCACACCAGCGTCATGTGCCGGTGCTCCACGCCGATCTTGAGCAGCGTCGGCGACACGAACGCCGTCTCGGCCGCGTACGAGAACTCGATGCCCATGACGGCGGCCGACACGCGCACCAGCTCCGCCCGAGTCTTACGTCTGCGCGGGAAAAACAAAACTATTACCGTTACAAAGATGTCCGAGTTGAGGTGGGTCACTTTGAGGTATCCTGCGAGCACTATGTGCCCCAGAGCAGGTAGAACAATATCAAGCCTCTCTCAGAAATTTATGGACCATCGCAGAAATTCACATGGGCCCTGTGATATGTTTACCCCGGGGTATAAAAATCATGAGTTTGCTGCGGTGGCCCGGAAATCTATGATGAGGTTGTGGTATTTTCTACCCACCCCGGACCCGTGGATGTGCGCGTTCCGGCGCGTTCTGGACGAACACAGAATCTCAAACGGGTCCATGATCTTTTTACCCAGGGGTGTGAAAACCTTGGGTGTTCATGATATTTGTATCCCCCCTTACCTGTAGATGTGCGCGTACTGGTCGGCGAGGATGCCGGGCGGCGCCTCGACGGGCGTGTGCTCCCCGCGGGGCGGCTGGTGCTCCTTGACGAGGGCGGCCAGCCACTCGCCCAGCGGCCGGCCGCCGCGGGACTCGCGCCAGCCGTCGAGCAGGCCGCGCGCCCAGTCCCGGGCGGCGTGCACGCGGCCCAGCACGCCCTCGTACTCGTGGAGCTTCTCCGCCATGGCGGCGGCGCGCCGGGGCCGGGGCCGGGGCCGGGGCCGCGCACCGCGCTCTCACCCGCGCCGCGACATTGCCGCCGTCCTGGAGGAAGAGTGGAAGTAAAGTACACACATCGATCACTTAAGATTTGAAATTACGATATTTTTTATTTTTATGGAAAATCTAGAAACTTTCCCAGAAA